TGTCACGTGCCTGCACATGTGCGTCTGCCGCTTGGCTGGCTGGAGAAGCCGCGGGAGAGACTCAGATGTGAGGGTCTGTGGGACTCCGCCGCGGAGAAGTAGGATGGTCTGAGGACTGCACGTGTCACACTGGACAGATTAATGCAGCCCCACGAGAAAGGGGCCACTCGGGCGAGGCCCTGGGTTCCCCCAAGGCCCGCTGGCTTTGCGGGGCTGAGGCGGAGGGTGGCGTCCTCCTGCCTGGGGCGCGGTCGCCTCCTCCTAGGGAGCCCCCGGCCCTCAGGACTTGCTGGCGCGGTGGCCGCAGGCGGCGCGGGGGGCGCTGACCCTCGGTTCTTGGCACCAGACCCGAGGACGGGGAGACGGGAGGAGGCCCAGCCTGACGGGGTTCAGACCGTCGCTCATTCTTCCAGTACCCCGGGCGGCCGCGGCCCTCGGCGGGGGAAGGCACGTGGACCCTGGGGCGCCTCGGCCACGTGTGGCCTTCTGCACGCGGGCCCGCGGCTGCCTTAGCTGGCGGCTCTGCGGTGGCGCTGTCTCCCTGGCGGCCGGGGCTGCGAGCTGCGGTCCGCAGGCCCACGGGGTCTCGCTGTTCGGTGGGCACCTGTCATGCACGCGCAGGCTGCAGAGGTGCCATCTGTCTACTCAAGAGTGGCAGGGGCTCTGAAAGCAGTTTCGGGGGCGGCTCAAGCACGGCCGACAGCGCTGTCTTCGCGTGTGACGTCCAGCAGTTCGGTGGCTTAGATCAGGGCTTCGCAAGGCCGCCCACCCGAGGAGGGTCGGAGGTAGGTGGGGGCGCCAGGCCCAACCCTCGTCCCCGTTCCCTTTAATCCGTGACCTCCACACATTACTCCACCCGTTTTCTTGGTCTCAGAAGCAGAAATCTCGGCGGCTGCCGTTCTGCGCGTGCAGGGTCCCAGCGGCCCAACGCGCGAGCTCAACGCGTGCTCTCTCCCGCAGGATCTCCTACGACCCCGCCAGGTACCCCAAGTACCTGCCGGAAGCCTACTGCCTGTGCCGCGGCTGCCTGACCGGGCTGTTCGGGGAGGAGGACTTCCGCTTCCGCAGCGCGCCGGTGTACGTGCCCGCCGTCGTGCTGCGCCGCACGGCCGCCTGCGCCGGGGGCCGCGCCGTCTACGCCGAGGACTACGTCACCGTCCCCGTGGGCTGCACCTGCGTCCCCGAGCCCGAGAAGGACGCGGACAGCATCAACTCCAGCATGGACAAGCAGGCCGCCAAGCTCCTGCTCGGCCCCAACGACGAGCCGGCCCGCCCCTGAGCGCGCTCGTGCTCGGTCTCGAAGGGCGTCGGCGGCCGGGCAGGGCGGGGTGGGCACCAAACCCAGGCCTGGCTTTCCAGCTAGGATAGTTAGGGTCAGCCGACGCGGGCATGTCCTGGCTTGCTTTGTAGGCTAAAGTGGGTAGTCGTTGGAAGCTGATGGGAAGTGACCGCCACCCTGAGGGCGGCCCGCGCCAGGCGGTCGGGACCGGTCCTCCGCGCTCCTGGCGGCAGACCCGGCTGTGCCTCCCAGCGCGGCGGGTGCGGGCCGTGGCTCCCACGACTGGGCGCTCTGAGAGGGAGAGAGACGTATGTGCTTTTTAAAGAATTTTTTTTTTAAGTAGAGCAACTATACCTACTTTTTAAGTCAACTGTTTTCAATAGGGGCAGAAACTATTTTTATAGTAGCAATTTGGAGCAACTATATTAAAATTTTTTACTTGACATATAAACATTTTATAAGCATTCAGTTTTCACTTCCTGTGGTAGAATTTTTTAGAAGCATCGTTGGAATTCTCGATAAACTCTTTAGCTGGCACTGTGGCCTGGGTCTCTGGATTCAGCCTCTCGCCCATGGCTGATGACGCCGAAATGGACACACGTGAATGGGACCTACGATCGTTTCCACTGAAGGTCTTCAGAGGCCACCAGGTGAACAAAAGGGCTGGAGAGGCAGCTCGTACGATCCCAGAATGGGCTAAGAATTCCAGAAATCTCAAATTTGGTTTTAGTTATCGGTATATAAATGGTCTCAAACTTACACAATCCAAGTTTTTGGTTTTTTTCACTTTTGAAGGCTACTGGGGCCAATTTGTGAATAAGAGGTGGTGAGATAAAAGGTGGAATGTGACATTTTTGCCAATTCTTAGGAACAATCCAAGCAAGTAATGACTTGGTTGTAAGGGTTTTGGGATCAGGCCGAATACGAGGAGAAAGTGGGCCAATTTGGAATTTCCAGAGATCAATACTGCAGCTGCTTTTTCTACAAACTGCAGTGTGAGCTAAGTCCTTACTCTTTTCTTTATTGAAAGTCTGTCTCTGAACACAATTATTTTGTAAAATTATTAGAAGTTCTTTTTAAAGCATTAAACAATTATAGGTGAAGCATGTGCTGGTTGTGTGCATTTCTCTCCGAATTTTGCTTAGATGGGCTGGACTGATTTTTTAGAGGAAATGCGTTAACTAAAGTCTTCACTTTGTCATCTTACGGTTGAGGTTTAAGTTCATCAGAATTTGATTTGGTCCTAAGAAAGATCAACTAGTCATGACAATCTCTTTGATCTTTTGTGATACCCCCAACCAAGACCAAGAAGTGTCCTTTATTCATATGTATTTCACACCCAAGCTTCATCTACCACAGAAAGGAGAGAGTTGCCTTTCTTCCATTACCCAGTATCAGCCTTAGTTTGATCCAGACAGAAGGGTCACTCAGAGAACTTTCAGCTCCTGCTAAATATTGACGGAAATTGTGTATAAAAAACATCGCTGGGTAAAATTCACGTTGTCCAAATAAAAAATTCAAAATTGAAAGCAATAGCTCTGCAGACTTTGGGAAATTTTACTTCCCCATTCAACCTCTGGGGGAAAAAAACGGTACATCCGGTGGTGGTATGTCTAGAATACATTCCTGTCCAGAAAACAGAAGGTTTAAAGGAACAATCAACAAATACATAAATCGGAAGGAAAAACTGCTTTTCAAGCCCGTGATGTGGATGTTGTTCCAGTCATTGCTGCTATTATGTCACATTTTCCAGGCCACTCCTCAAATACAAATAGTGCAAGCTCAGAGGAAGGCGCATTCAGGAGAGCAAACTATTTGCATGGGGAAAATGTCACGAATTTATTTATTGTATTAATCATTACTTTATACTCAGCCTGTTAAAAAGTACCACATTCTCAATGAAGAAATTAACTTTCCATTCTATGAGCTAGAAAAGCAGCCTTTATTTGTGTTTTTTCTCTGAATGGTCTATTCATCCACTTAGCAAATACCTATTGGGCACCTCCCTGGTTCCAGTTAACGAGCTCTTGCAAGACAACTGTCAACAACACACATCTCTTTCTTCAGCTAAAACGAATAAAAGACAGAAGCTGCCAGAGCAGAATCAGAGGTTTACGTGTGCCAGCTGCTCGCATGCTGGGGGCTGCCTTATGAATCTGCATTCCTTTGTCTCAATGAGCTGCGTTTTCCTTGTTTATGAAACGAGGTTGTGGAGGTTGGTAAAGCACCTAGCACAGTGCCTGGCATGCAGTAGGCACTAACACACATCGCCCCAATCGTTTATAAGCTGCATTTAAAATAACTATCAAGCTAAGCCGCCTTCATGTTATGTTTATTGCAGGCATCTGTCACTTGGAAGTGACTTTTTGTATAAAAGTTTAAAATGAAATCTGGAGGCAGCCACAATTTGAGATATGTTGAAATTAGAGGTGGCGGCTAAGTCTGGGGAGGTGCTGTTCCAATGAACAAGATTTCATGGAGCAGAATTTTGTTCTCTTATTAAAACTAAAGGATTTTGGAGGGGCTGGGGGTGTTGGTATCTCGTTTTACCAAACAGGGAAGTTTACACATTGGAGAAACTATGCTAGCCAAAGTTCAATGCCATCTCCCTGCCCTCAGTCCCACTAGGCTGAGTTCTTCACGCCGCAGTTAACGTGGCCTGGGCCCACCCGCGTGGGCACCATTCATTCCTAGGCTTTCCAGAGGTGCAACCTGGTACAGTTCAGACCTGCTTCCCCTCCTCCCAGAAAAGTGCAAGTTTCCGTCAAATGAATTCTATGTTGAGGACTGGGTGGCAACCCTTGGAATGGAGGTACTTTGCTGGTTACTGAAGATCTTTTCCAACCAACTGACAGTGTTTCAATTGTATACTTGTTCTGTAAACATGGACTCATTTGGGAATAGCCATCGAGACACATTCTGCAAATACCAACAGTTCCATGTTCAGGTGCCAATTACCCACACTTCTTGTTTTACTGCATTTTTTAGTAGGCCAAAGGGGGGGGAACAGCCATTTTTAGTAACTGGCTGCAGCTCTGATCTTAGAACAGAATGGAAGGGGAACGAGCACATACTCCTGCATGAACTGCAGTTTCACACTTCGCCATGCATCCCGTTTGTGCTATGCAGGCACCCATCGCCCCCCACCCCCCAGCTACAGGGAAACGTCTGGCTTTTGTGAGCAAAACAGAATTATCCTGTTCCTTCCCACTCATGTGAAAGCTACTTTGTCTCTCACTGCAACTCTCTGAATCAGAAAGGACTTACAAAGATGTTTACAAAAACATTCTTTCCGCCTTTGAAGTCTGTAGGTAAGGTGTAAGAGGCGAGGGAAAGCTCGTTCCACGCCTGCATTCATGATGCACAGACAGAGCGACGGCATCGGCCTGGCCCGGCCTCCTGGCAACTGCCCCCTGAGCGCCTCCCGCCTGATTAGACAGACCCCAAGGAACACACCGGGCCTGATGAGTCTTTTTTAAAGGTTGCAGAGGTATAGCTGCAGCTCTTTTATGAAATCCAGAAGTAGATCATATACAAACACAGATATGCTAAAATCAAAATCACATCAGGGTTCCAAAGCCACGAAACAACACCTTGGCTGCTTATTAAACAAAAACGCAATTTCCTCATTTCGTAAGCCTAAGACTCATGTACATTTTTGATATGCGTCAAGGTTAACCTTCTCCCCCTGACTCCTGTGAAGAAATAACGTTTCTCTTCAACTAAATGCTAGATTTATGGGACAACTACAACTCTGTTATTTCTAGGCTGCTCCTCTCCCGCAATTCCTAAGTTAAACATTGCATTCCTCTACATAATTTGTTACTGACCCAAGTAATTCTTAGCAAACCGATTCATAGGGAAATAATAAAGTCAGGGTTATTTTTTAAAGAACAGACATTTATACTTAACGTGTGCCAGATGGTACTGATAAAATATCAATGTCTCATAAAAACAGTGATTTTTAAAGTAAACTAAAAGTCATTCAGAAGTATGACAGCTGAGGGCTGAGAAACAGCAGGAAGGGGCAGGTCCCCCAGGCTTCCTGAGCACGGCTGGGTGTGCCTGGCCCTCCTTGGGCCGGCCAGGACAGGCTGGGTTTTTTCCCAGTAATGAGCGCACCGTCTCTGATGTCCAACAGCACATGGTCATTTCTGCACCCCCCCATGTCCCCTGCAGGGGGGCTGTAGCCCTGCCCTACTCGAGCACTGGACAGCCAGAGAGAAGTGACATATGCCACTTCCTTCCACACTGTGTTGGCCAAAGCAAGTCATAGGAGGTGGGGGAGTGTAATCCTTTCCCAGAGAGAGGGTGTTAATTTTTTGGAAAATTTTTATTCTAAAATGATCGTAGATTCTCAGGCAATTGGAAAAATACTACAGATAGGTCTCATGTACCCTTTACCCAGTTTCCCCCGATGGTAATATCTGACCTAACTATAGTGCAATGTCACAACCAGAAAACAGACACTGGTTCAACTGACAGACCCCATCACAAGTTGACCAGTGTTACACGCGCTCATTTGCATGTGTGTGGTTCTGTGTAACGCTGCCACATGTGCAGGCGCGTGAAACCACCGCCACGGACAAGACACAGACCAGCACGCAAGCACCAGAGAACTCCCCCTGCGCCCGTCCTGACCGCTACCAACCACTGACCTGTTCTCCTCAGAGAACGTCATAACTGGAAACATCCGGTGTGTGATCTTTGGGGATTCTCTTCACTGAGTTCGATTCCTTGAGGTCCATCCCAGCTGCGTGGATCAACAGCTCATCCTTCTGGCCGCTGCAGCCCTCCGGGCTGTGGGTGTGTGACGAACGTGCTTCGAACAGAGACTCCACTTTGGCTCTAGGCTGCGGTTTACCGAGGGCACTGTCATCTGCTCAGGCAATTTGGAACAGGGACCTGGGTTCCCCTCCCGTCACCCTCAGCCCTCCCAGAACTAGGGAGAGGAGGAGAATGCCAGAGGCACTCAGACACCAGCTCCTCTCATGGAGGCAAGCCGCGTCTCCTCGCCGGGCTGGAGCAGGACGGGGGTGCGGCCTCGAGAGCCCTCGGATGCTACCAGACTGCGCCAGGCAGGCAGAAGGGGCCCATGTTCAGGGAACCTATGGCCTGAGGCAGACGCCAAGGTCCTGTCTAATTCAGGAGGCCTTGGGCAAGCCACTAAGCTGTTTGCTCTTCTGTTTTTACATACGTTAAATGAGGAGAGTGGATTAGGCAGGTTCTAAGATTTCTTCCAACTCTAATTCCATGGATTCAGGTTGGCAGAAGCTCTAGGGACGCCCTCCTTAAGGAAACAATAATGAGAGGTTGTGTCCTTATTTTGAAACTTAGGCCAGGGACAGCTCCTGTTTGGTGGGGAGGGGAGGAGGTTGTAACTTTTCAGTGTACTAAGAAAATAAGAACAGAGGAGAAATGTGCCAGGGGTCCTTTACTGCGTTATGTTACTGTCTGTATTTAGAGCCCACAGTCTAGCCCAGATTCATAATTCACGTAACAGCAAAACGCGTTTGCCAAGTTTCGGGTATGTTTTGGGATAAACTTGCACATCTTCACCCCAAGGAGTTCTGCCGCCAGTTCTTCCATGATGGCACCTGAGGAGAACAAAGTAAATGAATCCAAAGAGTGAGTCACCAGCCGAGAGCTCAGCGCCAAAGCAGCCCCGCAGAGGGGGTTCCAAAGTCCCGAGAGCAGTACTTGACGACAGAGCCCCAGAAGGATGGGGGAGGGACTGTCCCTTCTCCAGCATTTTTGCAAATTACCTATTTTCTCCATTTCTTTTTTGTGTAATAAATAATTTTCCTACTTTTGCAAAACTGAGACACTTAGAAATTTAGAAGTAGATTATATCCTACAAACGAACATAAGGAAAGCAAAAATCATTGCTAAACGCTAGGGTTTCCCAATGTCCAGTCAAGAACCTCTTCTTCAGTAATACCTAATCTTACAAACTGGTACGAACACATTGCTACCTTTTCACTGACTGCTTCCAGTTTCTACCCCTGGCCCAACACGGCCAGCTCCCCTCGTCTCCTGGCAGGAGGTGGCCTTGGCAGCCCTCACGGGCCAGAAACACAGGACAGCCCCAATTCTTGCCCTTTCTTCCCCCACACTCAGAGCACAGTGAGCTCTTCCAATTTTATCTCCAAAGCATCTCTTTAATCCATCCCCTGCCTGCCCCTCCTACTGCCGTGACCTTGTCCGGACTGCTGTTGTCGCTCACCTGGACGTTGCCACAGCCCATGCGGCGCCTGCGCCCACTTGCCCCATGAAACCTCTTCCGTACAAAATTAAAACCAACTTCTTTAGACAAATTGGATCCTGTCGCTTTTGGGAGACACTCTGAGCACTTTAAAAAAGAAAACCCCAACTCCCAATTGTCGCCTGTGGGGGTCCTCTTGCCCAGCCCTGTGCCTGGGCTGGCTCGAAGCCCCTCAAGACTCACTGCACCAGCCCTGCCAGTCTCTGTTTCTTTCATGACGCTTGTCACAATTAGAATGCACTTCGTTGATATGTTTTGTTACCTTTTTAAAGCTATCTCCTAAAACTAAAATGTATACTCCATGAGGTCAGAGCGCTGCCTGTGTTAGTAAGCAGTTGAATTAATAAGCATTAAATAAATTACTATATTTGTGTGATCAAAGAGTAGCATTCTTGACCAAATAGCCAATTCCATAACACCAAAGGACAGACTCCCTGCAGCTCACCCCTGCTTGGAGCTGGGTGCTGGGAGAGAAGTGTGGCCCTGAGAGCCCAGGCCTAGGACCGGGAACAGCACCTGTGGGCCTGGACTCCCAGGGTGCCCAGAAGTCGAGAGACTGGGTGGGAATGTTTTAGTTCCCAAATTTTACTATACTGAATTTTACTATGGTCACCTTAAGAAAGTATATCAATCTCAGACTCTTCTACTTCAACAAACGTCATCTAATGTCTAGCTCTATAATCTTAGGCAACTCACTCCAACTCTGTAGATTCCAAATTTCTCTTTTATCGAGTAGAGAGGCTGGATCACATACTACTACTGCTGATGACGATGATGATGATGATTAATTAAAAGTAATGGCTAACACTCATCCAGCAGTCACTATGCGCCAGACCCTGAGATGAGTACTTAATGTGTATTGTGTCGCTGAATTCTCCACAACCCTCAGAGACAGGTAGTATTATCAGTTCTAATTTACAGATAAGGAAACTGGGAACAGAGAGGTTAAATAACTCGTTTAGGGTCACATAGAAAGTGGTGATTCAGGATTTGAGGGTTTTTTTTGAGACAGAGTCTCCCCGTCACCCAGGCTGGAGTGCAGTGGCACAATCGCAGCTCACGGTAACCTTGAACTCCTGGGCTCAAACGATCCTCCCGCCTCAGCCTCCTGAGTGGCTGGGACTCAGGAGTACACACCACCACGTGCAGCTAATTTTTCTTATTTTTTGTAGGGATAGGGTCTTACTGTGTTGCCCAGACTGGTCACAAATTCCTGGCCTCAAGTGATCCTCCCGCCTCCCCAAGTGCTGGGGTTACAGGTGTGAGCCACTGCACCTGGCCCAGAACTTGAGTTTCAAATTTCTTCCAACTCTTGAAACCAAAGACTTGTACATCCACTGTCACTGGCTTTTGTGAGACATGAAATGTGGCACCTACCAGTGCACAGCAGAATCTTGCCCCGAGTCAGGTACTTGATGGTTTCTGACGTTTTTCTGAGACATTCCTCAGAAAGATAGGGAGGATCCGCTATTACGATGTCAAAACTATGTGCAGCAATTTTTTTAGGTAAATCCAATGGATTATTGTAATCATAGAAGATAAATTCCTCTCCATACATGGCAAATCTTTTGTCATATTCGAAGATGTATATTGAAAAGTCTTCTCTGTGCAGCTCTCTGAGTTTCTGGTACACGCTGGGGGCACTCACACATGCTATTCTAGAAGACAAAACGAACACACTCATGAAAGAGCTTTAATAGATAGCTCATGGCGTTAAATAACTATTTCACCTCCCCCCCCAAAAAATAGGTCCTAGTGTTCAGATTTTCTTAAAGGAAATAATAGTGTAAACTAATGTGACAGTAAATTTTGGGTAAAAAAAGTTATAGTTTAAAGAATTTGGTATTTAAAAATCTACAACTCATAATTTTGAGGTATGAAAGGATAAATGTGCTTTTTATAGTAAAAAATGTGAAACATCAGGAACACATTATAACAAAAGTTAGATGTAGTTAGCCCAAAGCCTAAATTTACCTTTTATTTTCATGTTGGGCCTTTAATAGGTAATTCAAATGCTTTTAGTCCCAACTTAATATTTTGAAGTCATTTTGTAATACTCATGATGTTGAAAGACAAACCTCAAATTACTCCAGTTTCCAAAAAGATACATTAAAATGGGGTTTCACTGCAGACAAGCTATTTTGAATTTATGCTTCTTTTTTGTATAAGGAAATTAAAAATCTGTTTCATTACAGGCAGTCCACGGTTTTATGAATGGGTAGTGTTCCAAGAGTTAACTCTTAAAACTAGCTGCTGAAAAAGCTAGACATAACCTAAATAATTGAATTATTGAGTTGACTATGGTAAATCTGTCACAATGAAATCATTTGTAGCCACTTTAAAAAGACCAAAGCTGCCCTCTGTATGCTGATAAGGAACATATTGACACTGAGGGCTCCCCAGGAGATAGCTCATCCAGACCCTCCAACTGTAGGGACCAAAGTAGATAAGCCCACCCATGTGTCCATGCTTCCAGCTTTTGAGTGCTCCCCCTGTAAATATGAATGGAGAGCTGGGGGTCAGCAGACAAGGAACACACCTTAGATAAATATCTAATATTAAATAAACAGAAAGCAGAGACTATGCAGGGAGAAGAAAACTGTTTAAAAGATCCTATAATATCCTCAGAAGAATGAACAAGATACAATAATAAATATTCAGAGACCAAAAAAGAGCTATAGACAATTACAAATATGGTAACAGACACGGTAAACTCAGTAGAAAATTTAGATGATAAAGTTGAGGAATTCACCAGAAAGTAGGGTAAAGAGGCAATAGATAGAAAAAGAAGAAAATTAGAAGATCAGGTCCAATATTCAAATAATAGAAGTTCCAGAAAGAGGAATAGAAAAAAACAGTGGGCAAAGAAATCAAAGAACTAATTTAAGATAATTTTCTCAAACTGAAGGACATGAATGATGAGGATGAAGGGCTCCCCAGTGCCCGGGATAGTAGATGAAAGCTCCACACCAGGACACATTGAATACTGGGGCTTGAGAGAAAATCCTAAACTTGCAGTAGGCAGAGATGCAAAAGCAGGTTTCCTACAAGAAATCAGAATGACACTGGACTTCTTACTAGCACCTATGAAAGCCTGGAGACAATGGAGCTATGCCTTCAAAACCTGGAACGAGCTATCCAACAAAACTATCACAGTCAAGAGTAAGGGTAGGACAAAAGCATTTGCAGACATGAATGTTCAATCCCTTGTACCTTTTCTATGGAAGCTATAAGAGGATGTGCGCCTCCATCACAAGGCTATAAACTAGGAATCAGGTTCGGGAAACAGGGAGTCTAGAAGGAGAGAGGTAAAAGGGAGCACATTGGTGAAGGGAGATACCAAGCTAAGAGCTGAGCAAAGCTAGAGAGCAACCAGTGCAACTGGAACAGGTTGCAAAGCCCTGGGAGTAATTTTTTTCAAGAAGTTGAAGTGGTTTAACTTACTGATAGGAGATTTAGACACAGAATTTGGGGATTAATTAGTGATACGGATATAGAATACATAAAAAATAAGAGAATTATTTTTTCAGGAAAAATGAAAAGTTGTACAGGAAGGAGAATGAAAAAGCTCAACTGTAAAGAACACTTATGTAGTCATAACAATATAAATCCTGTTATAACCAAAATTAAAATATATTAATAACTCTGTAGGGTACACAGAAAGCATGCATATCATGTGGTAACAGCATAGGATCAAAGAGCTAAATCCTCATTCTCTATGGTGAGAAGTCAAGAAATAATGTCGAAAAGTGACAAATCAAGAAGTAACACTATCAACATGTTATTTGGAAATCTGACTGTAAATACCAAGGAATGAATTGAAAGGGAGATGAAAGTGGGGGCAGTTATGGGGGAAATTAGAAATGGATTTTTTTGAATAAATCTGTTATAAACAATTTAAATTATATGCATGCAAAGTTTTGATAAAAATAACAACCAAACTAATAAAAAAGAAACCCATATGCCGGGCGCGGTGGCTCACGCCTGTAATCCTAGCACTCTAGGAGGCCGAGGTGGACGGATTGTTTGAGCTCAGGAGTTCGAGACCAGCCTGAGCAAGAGCGAGACCCCGTCTCTACTAAAAATAGAAAAAAATTAGATGGACAACTAAAAATATATAGGAAAAAAAAAATTAGCTGGGCATGGTGGCACATGCCTGTAGTCCCAGCTACTGGGGAGGCTGAAGCAGGAGGATCGCTTGAGCCCAGGAGTTTGAGGTTGCTGTGAGCTAGGCTGACGCCACGGCACTCTACTCAGGGCAGTAGAGTGAGACTCTGTCTCAAAAAAAAAAGAAATCTATATTCTTAAAACTTCAGAAAAGTCAAACATTAAGATTTTCTCTTTTAAAGCAAACTCCAGAAGTATAAAGGTAAGAAACAGGTTACAAAATGTTACAATAAAGAACAGAGATGAGAAGCCCTACAAGGAATAGATCTCTGAGGGGTCCCTGGACTCAGTGTTGAAGTGGGTCTTAATTTGTCATGTGCTGCAAACCAGGGTCGATAATTTTTTCACAGTATAGTTCAGACTTCTTGCAAACCGTCTCTCACCTAGGAAGGACATTCAAAATATTACTTTGGATTAGAAGACAAAAAGAGAAATAAAATTTGAATCTCACCTGCCACCTTCTCCAGCAGCAGCAATGGCTTCCTGTGCAAGGCGCAAAGCAGTTTCCTGACTATACCAAAACTGGCTCAATTGCTGTAACAGAGGAATGGGTTGCTATCATTTTTAGAATTGGCATAAACTTTGTTCTTTTATATCTACTATGTCAGCATGCATATATTTAAGAAATTTTCTTTTGAAAATTAATATTTCTTTGAAATTATTTTAAATTAATACAAGCCCCTAATGGATTAATGGAATCTATGCATTGAGTCTCAATGGCTGCTAACATCACATAAGGATGACTTACAGTCAATGTTTCTCCTGATGGAAGAATATATCCCAACCTTTATATTAGTCTTGCCAAAAAAAATCAAACTTGAATCTGATTAAGCTTCTAGATTCAACTAGCAATGAACAGAATTATAAACACAGAGGATGGAAGAACATGTTAAATGGCACCACAGGATGCGAACAGCAAAATCCAGACTGTGCTACTTTCCACGGCCTCATCTTTACCTCAGGTGTGTTTCCTGGAATTACTTGTTTTTCCCTCAGGGCAAGTTGTTTGTTTTTCATCTTGCTCCTTCTGTTTCATGCTGATTGATGATTTTTTAAAAACTTCTAGTGATCCTTGATTATCTAATCATATTTACAAATTAAGGATGATTTTAATGAAAAAATAGCTTGGTTTTCCTCTGTAATAGTATAGACTCATTTCTCCAACTGGCCTCTGCCCACTGAGTGACAGGGCAGAGGCAGCCTGCCGCACGGGAAGTGCACACGGGATTCTCACTTTAAAAACGTGCTCAGAGTGGAAACAACTCAAATGCCTATCAACTGATGGAGGGACAGACAAAATGGAGTATACTGAACAATGGAATATTATTCACTCATAAAAAGGAATGAGGTGCTGATACATGCTAAACATGGATGACTACTGGAAACATTATGCTAAGTGAAAGAAAACAGACACAAAAGATCATGTACTATATGATTCCATTTATAGGAAACAACCAGAAGTGGCACATCCATAGAGACAAAAAGTTCATTAGTGGTTGCCAGGGGTTGGGGGAATTGTGGAATTGGGAGGTGACAACTAAAGGGGATAAGGTCTTTGTGAGGCAGTGAAAATGTTCTAATGGTGATGACTGCACCTATCTGTAAACTGACTAAAAACCACTGAATAATACACTTTAAAAAGGTGAACTGTATGTGAATTATATCTCAACTAGCTAAAATCTGATCAAATAGGGAGAGCTTTACTCTGAGTATGGAGGAATTTTGTGTGGTTCCTTCCTAAATGAAACTGCCTTTTCCCCTTTCTCTTTGTCTGTGGCAGAGCTCTGGAGCTATCTTAGATTCTACTCTGTGTCTCTTTCCATATTTCCTACCCAAATTAGGGCATTCCCAAAGCAGATTCTCCAGTTTGTTTAGTGAGAAATCCTCTGAGATTTGGCCTGGAGGCGCGTACCTCCCATGCTTTGTTTGACATCTGGATAAGATTAGGAGGGTAAGATACCAACTGGCCCAACTATGGTAGCAGGCCACCCTCTAATTAATCACACAAAATCAGCCCACGTGCCACTTTTACCCTGTGTTTTCAACAGGCTCTGAGTTTGGAACCCAGAGTCTCCGTGTCCCCCACTGGAAGAAGGGCTCTCGTCTCTGCCACAGTTCTCAGCCAGGGTGGCAGTTTACTCTGCTGTTCACAGACCATCTAATACCCACTTACTTTCTTCCAAAAATCCCTTGAAATATCTGGCCACATTTTTATCACAGTTAGTTTTAAACAGAGGGTAAACAGAAAAAATGTATATAACTGAGCCATCCAAACTGGACACAAAATGTAAAGGATAAAAGCTTCCTTCCAATGGCAAAGGGATGAAGACAGACCTACTACCAAGGGGCAGCCACAGACAACATTTGAGGCTTGTCTGTTTCTCAAGTATCTTCATTTAAAAATTTAAATTTTTAGGTTTCAGTTTATGTTAGGAGTTTCCCTCATTTTTTTCTTTTTTAACTTCTGTTTTTATTTGGGCTATAAAACACAACTAAGTATATATTTATACACCAAAAACTATTAATATTTTCTTAAAAACTCCCTCATCAATTTTTCATTACATGTTTAAGTACCCTTCCACCATTTATGACAATGATATGTTTTTCTCTTTCCAGTAGGATTTCCAGGCCCATAAAAGCTAATAGGGTATCTCTCTATCCAAGAATGAAGAACAAGTTTGTGTTGGACATAACAACACATCACCCCCCTATCCAAAAGGCCCCCCTCCTCTGATCACCAAGCAGCCTGATCGTGAGAACCAGGGAGCTCTCAGTTTATACTGTCCTAAAATGCTCAGGGACTGCTTTCTTAGTTCCCCACAGAGATTATCAGATCACAAGTGACAAGTGACAGAGATTTCGGTATCAGGTGGGATGCAGAACAACACTGGCTGAGTAGCTTCCACATCAGTGTTTTCTGCTGGATATGGAATGCATTTACTTACCCAGTTCTCTTCTATTACTCCGATGTTGTATTTATCATCCCCACCCAGGTCGGTGCGTTGCTTTTGTTCAGCATAAAACTCCTGGAGAGCTGCTAAGGTCTGGGCAGAAAGCTGGGGGGTCTCATCATCTTCCAAGTCACTCATTTCACAAATCGTCTCTAACCTGCAAATCGAGCAATAAATGTTCTATGTGGATTTTGTTTCCTGTTCTTATCAAATAATAATTCAAAACATTTTTTTATTTCACAGCAAGGATCCAAACCAAAGTTAGTTTTATATAGGAAATATACATATTTAAAATTTTTGAGATAAAATATCTACAGAGGGCTTCTACTGAACTACGGTTCAACCAGGGCAGGCTTTTCTTTTAAATCTGTCCAGTTTTTACAAATATCATGTCTTCATTTTTATGATTCCTTGCAGAAGGAAATGTTTACCACAAATATCTGAAGACATTTTGCTTTCTTCTGGTACCCCAGAGGCTATATGCAGACGTCTCGCAGTAGAATCTGTCAGAGATCGTTCTATGCTTAACCGTCACTGGTTACGCGAGCCAAGGCTCGTGAGAGTCATCGGTGGGTGTGAAGGATCAGTAAAAAACGAGGGGTATTAACAGAGATGTGAAAAATAAAAGGGACAATAAGGAGAAGGAGAAGAAGAGTAAAACGAGAAATAGAGAAAAACAAGATATTTTTGCAGACACTGATGGCAGGCACAATTACTTCTTTTTGGGGCACCACCCAGAGGGAGCTATATGGTGAGGTTAGCGTACAGTCCCCTAGCTGGCCAAGACTGCCAAGGCTCTTGACAACAACTGCAAGTTCAGAGGTTTCCCAAAACCACACTTGGGTTCAATAATTTGCTGGAAAGACTCACAGAACTCACTGAGAGCAATTATATTCATAATTAAATTTATTACAGGGAAAAGACACAATTTAGAACCAGCCAAAGGAAGAGACGTAGGGAGGAGTCCATGAGGGTTCCAAACTTGAAGATTCCATCATCCTCAGGACACGTTATCCTCCTGGCATTGATGTTTGACGATATGCGTGGAGTACTGCCAACCCAGGGAGCTCACTGGAGCTTCAGCGTCCAGTTCTTATTGAGGTTTCATTACTGATGGAATAACTGTATAACTAGCTGAAGTCAGTCTCTACAGCTGCGCCCTCCCAGAGTCTGGGCTCAGGGGCCCTCCACGAGTCATCTTGTTAGCATAAACTATCAGATGTGATCTGAGGAGCCCACCATGAATAACAAAGATACTTCTATCACTTGGGAAATTCCAAATGTTTAGAGGTTACCAGCTAGGAGCCAAGACAAAGACCAGGCCTCTCTTTGGGTGAGGTCAAATTCCTTACTACCCAAATATCAAACAAATTACTAAACCAAAAGTTATCTAAAAGCAAAAATCATCTTGTTTCCTTTTTAAAATATTGTGTCTAAGTTTTACAGTGAGTGATGTGTTGAGAATCAGCAAAGATTATTCAAGAGCTTCCTCCTGCTACTTTCTTCCCACTGGTAGACCTGTGTGGGTCTGTCCCACTGGCAGGGTCTAGGGCATGTGCCTGGGCCATCCCTAAAAGGGAGGCTGGGAGAGCAGGACTCAGAATGTCGGAAATACCCAAAGCTTAGGAAGAGTGTTCAAAAGATACTAAACAGCCATTTAAAGTGAGAAATATCTGCTAGATGCTGCTTTTGTTCTTCTTTTCAAAATCAGAGAGCTCTCCACTCTACCCAAGATCCTTAAAACAACAAAAACCTTGTATGCACCAACTAGTGAAACCCAGTATATTTTCACTAAGTACAAACATCTTGTTGATTCCTTCCTTCTTTTCTTCATCAAAGACTTATTTGTATAAAAACTTGCTAATAAACATCTGGTGACGCAAGTTAATCTAAAAATACAAATAATCCCTCTATGAACAAGCAGTTTCCCCTCTAGGAAAAGGAGGAGCAGAACACAAGATACATACAATATGATTAGATTTATATAAAGTTCAAAAACAGGTACAACTAAGAGATGTTGTTTAAGGCAGCGATAGCCTTCTGTTTATCAAAGATAGATGGATTTTGAGCTGGGTGTGGTGGTGCACACCTGTAGTCCCAGCTACTCAGGGGGTTGAGGGAAGAGGATCACTTGGACCAGGAGTTCAAGGCTGCAGTGAGCTATGATAGTGTGAATAGCCACTGCACTCCAGCCTGGGCAACACAGCAAGACCCTGTCTCTAAAAATAACAAAAAACAAACAAA